ATGAAGTCGCCAGTGTGAAAGTATTTTGGATTTCCAGGGAGTTATGTTGACAACATTCGTGTTGTATGCTTTATCGTAGCTTCTTACTGCTAAAATGCATTTAGTGTTAGTTAAAAAAAGGAACTGCAAAGATATTAACCAACTCCAACCTTTATTCAAATTAGTTTATAAATATTCAGAAATTAAACACTAAGAGTAAACAGTAATGGGTTATGTCGTTAGTTATCTTCTGGTGCCTTCGTGATTTATTTATTTTTTTCATATGGTGTAAAAGCTCCATACAACTCTGAAATTTTACTTTGCTGTTGCTAGTTACTAGATTGAGTGTCACTGGGAATACTTTTAGTTGACTTTTTGCCAAGACACTCCTCATTTAGCTGCCAGTTAGAGGTGTGAACCTACACTAATCTCACGGTTCGGTCCGATTACGATTATCATGCCATCGATTCGGTTCAATTCGATATTTCGGTGCATCACGGTGCATTGACGGTGCTTTCCATACACAGTTTTATATTTTCTTCACAGCAGCATTTCTTGTATTAAAATGTATGAATATATTTATATACTATTTGTAATACTATTTTGTCATTTAATACAAACAGTCAGATATACAAACTGTAACTTTAAACAAAACGAGCATTTAGCAAATAATATAAACAAATATAAATATCCAGCTCAATTTCTGATCCTTGTCTAGTTCTCTTACACCCCTTTGATTAGTCACACCCTCAACAAAAACGGTTGCGATTGGCTCTTGCGCACTGTGCTCTTCACAGATGAGTGATGCTGATAAGCGGCAGGCGGCAGCGGCGATCTCACAGCTGATGTATGATAGACACGGTGGAGAAAACTCTGCAGACACGCGCTCACTTCTGTATGAAAAAGTAACGCTGTAAAACAGCCGAGAAGAGAAGAAAAGCCACGCCAGCAGGTCAAATGGGCCACTGTGTGTGAGTGAGAAAGAGAGAGCGAGAGAGAGAAAAATGGAGTAGGCTACTTTCATTCTCTCGATCTCAGTGAAATAGGGGCTTTTGTTGTATTTGTCAGTGAAAGACTGATCCAGCAAACACACACAGTGAAATTGTGCAGTTTATGAGTTTTAAGTAGTTAAAGCGCTGTAAATACTCGCGATCGCCTCCCTCGCGACGGAGCGCATATGAGGTAAATGACGTCAGTAATAACCGGTTATGATTATTACTGAACCGATACCGAATTGTCCGCGGCTGCATCGCAGTGCACCGAAGAAACGATTAATTTTGACACCCCTACTGCCAGTGGTGCTTTTTTTTTTTTTTTTTTTTGCATCTGAAGTGGCAGACGCCATCACCATACTTCTCCACGCTTTCCTGTTTGTTTTATTGTGGGCTTTCCACATAGTTCGGTTGCACAATTCTGATTGGGCAGATTGAAAGTGTGCTCACTTAATTGGCTAGTAAGACTGTCAGACACAGACGGCAGTCACGCATTTGCTTTGGGTGGGGGAAATGCATATCACAGCCTCTTGCGATTTTTGACTAATCGTAACATTTCAAATTGAAATTCTAATGTGATTAATTGCACATTCCTAGTTGGGTATAATAAAAGAATTAATAAATAATATCTAGAGAAGTCTGTAAAATAACAATGTACTGGCAGGTTTTTGTAGTGTAATGTACACCAACCCAGACAATATAGCACTGCAAACTATTAAAAAGATTAATAAAAGTCACTTTTCCACACTTTTTAAGGCTAAAACAAATATTAAGGTCTCATAATGCATTTCAAAAGCATAAATAAACAGGAATATATGGAAATTTGTTAATTTATAGGTATTTTTTACAGTGTGGTTACATAAATTCTGCATTAATGAATGCATCTGATTTGATTTGAATTTAAAATTCACTCTTCATTCTGTCACAGTTTTGGGCAGGCTGTGTGATTGTCTATTCTGCGCTTCAGGCTGCGTGATGTGGATTATCTCTGTTTTTAATTGAGCTTTAGTAACATCCACCTTAAGATCCGTAATCCAGGTCAGCTCAAGCACACAAAGACCAGCTCATGGGGTTTTGTGTTTGTGATTGGTGCTGAATGACTGACCAAATGACATGCTGAAACAATAGATGAAGACATTGTGTGCAACTCTGTTTGTATTTTGTGATGCATTCAGCTTTTCTGTTCTGCTGGGCATGTTCAGTTTATTACCTACTCTAGGCTCTGAGTGAATTTCTCAATTTATTTGCATCAGTTTCACCTCGGTTTCTCTTCACATTGTGTTATTTGCGTATACTCTCATGAGTGTTAGAAGTCTTTCTACAGTGACTTTGGTACAGTTGTGAATCATAGTGCTGTGCAATTATTCAAAAAACAGTTTACATTTAGATTTTGCTATCAAACAATTGAGAACTTAATTTTTTTTATTGATTTATTATAGTGCCATATTTCGCCTCTTTCCAGCGGTCTGCATGTGTTTTTCCAAAAAGCCAAATTTTGCATGGAAATGGGTGAATGAAATTTAATAATAATTTTTTTCTTGTTTTAAAAAGCACAAAGGGGAATTGCTGTTGTGTGCCTGCGCTCAGCCTCAGAAATGAACGGATATGAAGTCATATGAGCTCAAGGTGCACCTAAATGGTCAAAAGCAGACAAAAAAAGTGGTGCTATAATTTTTCGCATAAACCCTTGTTTATTATAAATGAATGTAAGGACTTGGGAATGAATATGCATGTGTAACAGTTAATTGGATCTGTGCTGCTCTGTGACAGTGGGCTATATACCTGATCTGGACTGTGCTCATTGACTGAGCTGAATTATACTTGAAGTATTTCAATTGTACCTTCTTTTTCCCCATTTTTATGTAGGACTTGATGTTTTAAATAATTGAAGACTTTTTGTAGTTGCTTTTGTTTTAATTTACTAATATTAGTTATTGATTCTGCTCTGCTATTGACGGTTGTGAAATTTTGTGTCTCCAAGATGTAGATATTGTAGCAACTTTACAGAACGTATATTTGGTTCATGTTAAATAATGTAGTTTAATAGTTTTTTTTTACTTCCATAATCAAGCAGCTCTACTTTAAGTATTTCAACCAGAAGAGAGAGGATCGTGTTTGTGTTCGCAATTCACATTCAGCAGTTATCATCCATAAATCAAAGCCTAAATCCACATTTTGTGAACTTTAATACGAGTTTTGTGACGTTAAGACCTTAAAGAAGGTTTTACATCAGCTTGTTAATATATCTGAGTGCTGTAGTCTGTTGCGTAATATAGACAGGAAACATTCCTTTATGCCACACCTCTTTGCACATGCACTCTCCTACAGTACATGTTTGCACAGCTATCTTTGAGAGGAACTGCCATAGACTTCTTTTGTTACTTGCCCAACAATTTTCTATGAGCTAAATGTAATGTTCCCTGAAAGTTATGCCTCACTGAAACCTTTTGCCTTTTTAGATGAACAACATTCTGTTGGCTGCTACCCACAACGTCCAAAAAGTAAAAAGAAATCAAGGTTTATGGATATTTGGTGTGTTATGACGTTTTAGGTTTAGGACGTTTACGTCTTAAGTCATAAGTCACTTTTGCCAACTTTTAAAGGTTAAAATGTGTTGAAGAAATGGCAATTTTTGTTATTAAAAGAATTCAAGAATTGCAAATTATCATCTGTCAAATACTGTCCTATCCTAACAAACCACCGATCAATAGAAAGCTTTTTTTTTTTTTTTTTTTAAATGAGCCTTAATTTGTTAAACAAGAACTAATACAACATTCTCTCAGACGTGTTTGCATTATAGAGAAGCTGGCACTCTAAATCCTCAGTCTGTGTTTGACTTTAATGGCTAAAGTTCCCGTCACTGTTTATGCTGTTGAGTTTAAATCAGAGTTGATCACTCCAGTCTGCTGTGTCTATGTTAAAGATGCACTCTGCCTTTTTCTGACTCCACAAGTTCAGTCCATCATAGAAAATAAACTCTTAAACCCAGACACATCAGGTCTCCGATTAGTCAGTCGATCATGTGTTGGTCATTTCACTGCTCGATCTCTCTTGTTTGCATTCAAGTAAAATTTTGGCATGACTTTATTGCTTTATTGGCATGACATTTTTTTTCATAGTATGCGTATCTGTAAATAACTAGGTATAAAATATGGAATGTACTTTCATCAGATTATTAAAATATACAATAATGGACCAATAAAAGGCTATGTCTAGGTTTAGTTATAGTAATTGCACAGTTGATTTCTCTCTCTTTTGCAGTAAATTAATCAAGTATGCTACAATTGACAGAACAATTTAATAGAATATACAATAACTGACAAAAAAGGACTCTCTAATTTTATTTATAATTATTGCAATTTTAAACATTGTAGGCTTTGCTCTCTCTTATTTGCTTTAAATTAATAAAATATTATATAGTTGATGGATCTAATTAATAAAAAATACAATAATTGACGAATTATTAGCTCTAATTTTAATTATATTAATTGCAACTATTAACAGTGAAGTTTTCGCTCTTACATTTGTATCAAACTAATAAAATATTATATCATTTACTATAAAAATACTAATATATACTAAATACTATATTTCTTGTTTGTTGTTTTCAATAGTATATTTATTACTGAAATGTTCTCGGCATGAAAATAGCCCTGGTTGCTGGCATGGCATTAAAAAATACATTACATAATTAAATATTAAATAATTGGCAGAACAAATTAATCTAATATACAATTAACAGAAAAAGGCTCCAATTTTAACTACAATTAAAATGAGACTTCTCTCTATTTTGCGTCAAATTAATTAAAGTCATGCAGTTTAAACAGACTTGAATATGAATTAATTATTAGTCATCAATAAATTTCAATTATAATAGTTGCAATTATAAACGGTTTAGATTTCTCTCTCTCTCTCTTCCTCTTTTACATCAAATTATTAAAATGTGCAATAATTGACACAATGAAAACGCTATCTCTAATTTTAATTATAATAATTACAATTATAAACCGATTTTCCCTCTCTCTGTAGGATATTACCAGTCTCCTCCACGATGTCTCAAACTAAAGCTCAGGATATGGGCTCTGCCTTCATCCAGACGCAGCAGCTCAATGCTGCCATGGCCGACACTTTCCTGGAGCACATGTGTCTGCTGGACATCGACTCCGAGCCCACCATAGCTCGCAACACTGGAATCATCTGCACCATCGGTCAGTACGTGCTTTATTGGCATGACATTTGAGCGATCACTATTTCCAACATTTTTTACATGAAAAAATACAGAATAACTTCAACATTGAAGTAATTAATTTTGAGAATTTATTAATGAATACAAGCTTTAATTTACAACATAATATGGTATAATATGCATTAATAAACAATCTAATATAATGTATGGTAGTGCTGTTTGACAATTAATCATGACCAGCAGCATACAAAGTAAGTTTATATTTATATGTTATGTGTGTTTGAGTAGATTAATCATTTTGTCATATATAAATATGGATTTAAATATAAATGAACCGTTTCTATACAGTTTATGCATGTGTAAATGCAAATTCTTATTTGGTATGTGATTTAAGTGGATAACAGCACTTTCCATTTATGTATACAGTATATTACTGTAATATTAATATTGTAATTTTACATTTTATGTATATACTTTTGTATTATAATGTATTAAACATTCCTCAAGCAGCTTCTGCCCTAGCACTTTCAGCTCAAATACAAGTTCAGCGAATGCTCTGGGGGATTTATTGTCAATTAAGTGTTTAATTAATCCATCTTAAACACTTTTTCCAAACTCTCCACATCTTCTTTAATACTTTTGATTTAGTTATTTTCATATTTTTAATACCATTTGGGTCATGAAAGCATGATGTTTAAAGTCAACAGATGGCAGGAAGTGATGGTGCTTTTTTTTTTTTCTTCTTCTTTTTTGTCATGTGACCACAGGACCGGCCTCCCGCTCAGTGGACACACTGAAGGAGATGATCAAGTCTGGCATGAACATCGCTCGCATGAACTTCTCTCACGGCTCACACGAGGTTTATACTGCATTATTTACAGACTCTTGTGCATGTTTCACTCTCTAAAGCTCACATCTGTTCATGTCTGTCCAGCAACAGTCAACGAAAGTCTTTGTTTCAGAAATTATACTCAAACTATCCGACATCTGTGAATCTCCCTGCAAAAAAGCCTTCACAATTTAGGTTTGCAGACTAGCTTCTCATTCAGCAGAAGGTCAAAGGTTACAGAGAGAGTGTGTGTAACCTAATCTACAGTGTGAGGCTATTATAAATAGTTTATCTGTTCCAACCCTGCCAATTACTTATCACGTCTCGGCTGCATGCAGGGTGGAGTTACTTTTCTTCGCTAATAATAAGAGCCGCTGGCTATGAGGTGAACGCCTTTTGCAGATTTCTGAATAATAGTCAAAAGGAATGGAGTTAAAGAGTTGGTTCATACACAAATAAAAGGTATACCATGATTTTCTCGCACGCAACACATTCTGTGAATTCCTTCCTGTCAAATTAAGTCTGAGTTTTCTAAAAAAAAATAATAATATTTGGCTTTTATCGCTATATTATATATATTATAGCTTCAATGGCAAAGGGTGGCTTTTTTAACGGTCTGAAACTAGACCAATAATGCACATCCTTTCATAAGTGTCTCACAAAGCTCCAAGTGGTGGAAAAAAGCCTCCTGTAGTGAAATGATGAGATGATAATAGTGCTAAGTTCGTTCTAGAATTACAGAAGGATTTTTATTATGCATTAAGACTTTGATCAAGTGGTGTATACCAGATGTTGAATCAGTCATACAAAATCGATGCATACATTTCTACTTAAAGGATAAGTCCTTACACAGAGAGTGGAATCTTGCAAATCCTGCACTGTTAAACAGTTATTTATATCCGCTGCTCTTAATATTTGTAAACGACTCTTTAAATGAAGTGAACTCTGAGTTATTCAGTCAAATTTTGACACCACATGAAAACGGTCACTCAGCATGTACGTTTTAATAATGTTAAAGAAGTTATTATATTATATAATTAATATTAAACCACTTTAACTCTGCAGACCCGGTACCGGGTCCGTGACGTCATCGACTTTTGCTTTCAGATTTAAAGGGCTAGCATTGCACCAGACCCCCGTAAGTGGTTTCGTTTGAAAGTGTAGAATCTATATTTTATGCACATATGCATCACTTTAATTTTTATTCTACTGCAAAAAGTTATTTACACTTAAATACACAGTATTTTGGAACCCGAGCTGGGTATTTTACATTGGTTCAGTTTCATTATTTTTTATATGACACATGTACAGGTTATAGCTCAAATGAAAGCTCTTGCCGGTGCTCATACGGTCCTAGCATTCTTTTTACTGAATTATATTCACATATCAAACAGTTGCCGAATGAATCTCGGTGTTTCCATGGCGCAGAAGTGAAAACAATACATTTATGATCAATAAGCAGCCCCAGATAGCACAGACAGCTCATCTCTTACCTTATGCTGTGCGCTTCAGGGCCATTCTCCTCTGTTTTTGAGCTGATGTGCATAAGTAATGCTTTTATATGTCTGACGTGCTCCAAACACAGTGAATTATGTTTGATTAAACAAAAGAATAGTGAAATATGAAAACAATGATCGCTCCCTGTGGCTTGTACAGCACCTCTCATCAGCTATAATACAATAACTTTTGCATAGATTATGGTGGAGACATTTTTCTGTTTTCCTATGATTACAGACATGTGCAGGAACCACCAACATTAATTACAGCACGCGAGACCACACAGAACCTAAAAGTTACACTTTCACATTTGAGTTTATAACAAAAAAAAATACAAAAAGCGCCTCTTTTTTTTTTAGGTGTTTATTATAACACAGACAACATATACAGTTATTTTAAACACTTTCAATAGTGTTTTATGAAAATTTAAAGGGTTTACTTTAAAATGATACCAAATTTTTGCATTTACATGTGGATTTGGGAAGCTTTTAAATTTGGGTAGGCAAAATCCAGGCCGAAATCCATAAATAGCAGCAGAGTTTAAGTGGTTAAGATTAATATTAATATTATATATATATATATATATATATATATATTAATATAATGTATTATATTTCATTACACTACTCACTTTTAATTGATCAGTCATAACATTCTAAGATATATTATCCAAAGGTAACAACTGCTAAATAACGTGGGCTCATCCGATAACTTGTTACACATCCATTGGATTGGAATTTCTTTGTCACACGGGCAATTTGGTTCACACCAATAGCCAGCACAGATCAACAGACAAACAGAAATTACAGTAAACAATAAAATTAATCATGATTAAGTAAAATATTAATAATTAAAAAAAAAGGATGCCAATCAAAACATGTCCAAGAGCAGGAATATCCAATGTCCATGAGCAAATACAACTTGAGTAACTACGTTTCTATTTTGTGACTCTATGTAATGAGCAGGATAAAATACATCCAGGATGGTTGTTTTCACAGAATAAACCCTTCAATCTCATACAACAGTGCTTTGCTTTGCTGCAGATAAGGCTGTCAGGCTCTATTCTGTGAGAACAACCTACTGAATATGCAGTAGTCAGCATTTGAAGTGGATCAAAACCTTTCATCAAAGTTGTCCTAAATCAATTGAACAACAGTCGTACTTGCCTTGGGCTGATTTTCAAAATGTTCAAATGTTGACTACTGTACATTATCCCTAACATAAACCTTACAATTTATTTGGGGGTGCAGTTAATATCCAGCTTTTCTGAATAGCTCAGGTATTTAAATATTTCTGTCGTGTGCAGACAAATTGCTTACCGCTGGCTCTTTTGGTGTGTTAGGACAAAGTGTCATGGTTAAACATTTCAGCCGTATTGAACAAACATTTCACACTCCTAAACAAACACATGTCCAGAAGCCTGTTTGTCCAACAGTGTGACCTCGAGTGTGTGTGTGTAGAGGTCGAGCTGTCACCGTACAGAAGCTACAGAAGCAAAACTAACTAGATGAAGTCATTATTACTACAGCTGTCTGACGCTGATAACATCACGGCTCAAAGGTGATACTCTAACCTGATTTATTAAATCAAACCATGTACAGCATGAATCATAGATCAGACTCTTGACAAATGAACTTTGTGTCTTTCAGATCACACACACTGCATGCACGAGTGTATGGTAACCTAGTTTAACACGTCTAGACACACCTTGACCGTTGCTTAGTTGCATGCATGCATTTGTGTGTGTGCGTGTGTTTAAACAGGAGATTAGAGTGACATCACCTCGCCATCAGATAATTATCATGCTGCTGAGAGATGTTCAAGTGCACTTGTTTAACGTCAGCTGTTACACTAAACCCATTTCCATTAGAGGTATTTATGGTGCGTTTGAAAGTATTGGTGAATATAATTCTCAGAGTTGTTTCTAAGCATTTCAGAAATGTTAGAGAGGTTTAGCTGAAAGGCGTTGAAAAGACTAATGCATATTAAGGGTGTCACGATCCTCCAAATCCTCGATTCGATTACATTTTCGATTCTAAAGGTTCGATTCAATTTTCGATTATGAATAATTAATTAATTAATGAGAAATTAATTATTTGTAGCCTACCGTTTAAACTACCTGACCTGCATGGTCTTTGTTTTACCCATAAAAAAATCATACAGTAAATGAATAAAGGCAAGATACACACATAATTACCACCTGTCAATCACTTTTTCTGCGGGACTCGTGAATAGGCAGTAATCTGTGTCGTTATAATGGCGTCGGTAAAAAAGACGCACAACCAACAGAAACCAGCCAACAGTATCTGAGGTGTTCGCTAAAATGACTGAGTACAAGTGAGTGAAAGATTGAAGCCGTCCTCTGACTGCCTGGACCTGCTGTCTCGAGCGCATGGCTTTGTGAGCGTCTGTGTCTGTGTGGTCACGTGATGTGCATTTTCAGAGGTAGAGAGGAAGGAGGGCTGCTCAGAAATGCTACACGCCACTGTGGATGTCAAATCGTTGTCGTTCTAAAATGCCATTTAAAAACAAAGACAGTGTAAACAGGGCCTGAGTGTGTACTTTTCGCCAGCGGATTTGCAACGGGGGCTGGCGGAGGATCGCGATGCCAGTGTTGTCTATCGTACGAACCCTACGTAATACGTACATAGCAGAGCTTGCAAAACTGTGTTTTTTTTTTTTTTTTTTTGTCGACAACACGAACGTTGTCAACATAACTCACTGGAAATCCAAAATGCTTAAACTCTGGCGACTTCATTGAAAGAGGAGAGGGTTTAAGCTCTGTCGACGGGTCTCCTGCTTCTGCAGTTTAACAAGCACTTCAACAAGCATGTTTTGTTCCCGCTTGGCAAGCCAAGCTGACATGGGGGCGTGGCAGCATCGACGATTCTATTTTTTGATTCGATAATCAAAATTGAGCATAAATTTCGATCGATTTCGATTAAAAATCTAAATCGTGACACCCCTAATGCACATACTGCTGAGTAGTGTAGTTAAAGGCACAGCGTTTAAGATTGGTTCATTTTAAATAGTCGAAAACCAACAGAACAGTCAGGGTTCAACGCTATGGATTTTTTCTAATGGTCTGATCGGGCCAGTGGTTTCAATTTTTACTTGCCCTGCCAAAATTTTGACTGGCCACACCAAAAAAAAAAAAGTTAATAGCTATTTTTCAGCCGCATATTTAAAACAATGCGTCAAAAATAAAGTCTGTGAATCTAGAATTTCAATACTTAAAAAAACACATTAATAAAAGTGTTATGCAAACAAAAAGAGCAGTTTGGAAAATGTGGAGGTGTTTTATTGCGGTTCAAAATAATTAACAAAAGGGGGGCTGACTGTGGGCAAACAGTGCAAAACATCACTTCATTTTTTATTGTCGCGTTCACACGTAAATGTCTGCTTATAAAACGTTAGAAACAGTTATTTTCTTTTAGCCTAAAGGCCCGTGCACACAGAGACGTTTTTTGCTCGTGTTTCCCGTCGACATTTAACGCCTCGTAACTAAATAAAGGGCGTCAATGTGATTGTGCACACCAACGCGCAAAACAGCAGGCGCAAAAGCAGCATTAAAAAAAAAAACGCCTCATGTTTGTTTTTTTGTTTTGACGCACGGCGGGAGTTACAATAAGCAACACTTGGAGGCGCTCAAGCGCAAAACTGTCAATGCGAGCGCACATTGAAGAAGATGCCCAGAGGCGATATGAACGTCTAGCCGCTTATTGCTCTGTGAACAATAATCACTTCTTCATCACTACAGCTGGAGCTGCTGCTTGAACCATCGATGCTTGTTCGAGTCACCAGTAACTTTATAAACAAACGTGTGAACTTCCTCTCCTCCTCTTCTCCTGTGTTATAAGCGGATGTCAGAAGCTTAAAGTTGTGAAAGCGCCATCTAACGTCAAAAGAGTGATTTAGCATACTCTTCAGCTTGACGCCAGTGAAAAGCGCTTGGGTTTGAACACTGAAAAACGTCTCGTAAAACGCTGCCGATAAACGCAAACTAAAAACGCCCCAGTGTGTAGGAGCCTTTATAACTTGATGTTGCCACCATGTTGCCGTTTCTTCTCTGTACTGGTTGTTCCCAGGTTGTGGAAAAAAATAGCATGCTCAAAACATCAAATCAGATAAGCGGAACCGGAAAGCAATATGGTGTTTACGACTTCATTGAGAAGGGGGTGTTTAAAGACTTAAAAGCACAAACTTAATGCACGTAATTGAAATAGTCGCAGACAAATTAAATGTTAGTGACGGCACTGTCCCAATCGGGCCAGTAATGATCCTGTCTACTGTCCCAAGCGTCTCTCGCGCTGGCCCTGGGCCACCAGGCAGTCCTTATTGTTGAGCCCTGCAGTGTTGTGTTTTTTTTTTTTTTTCTTGACTTGCATATGATGGGAAGAAATGGGAAGAATTCAAATTCTGAGAAATAAGCAATTTTAACTAGTGAGACTGGGTGTGTTTTCATGCTAATCACGTCACACACATTGCCCTTTTCTCTCATCAGCAATTGCATCAGGATTTCTCTCGTTTCGTTTCTATAAGTCTTTCTCTGTTCGATATATATATAAAAAAAAACTGACAGGGGTAATTTGTTTTTCTGTGATTTTTATATATTGTGATATTAATAAAATTGCATAAGATAATTTATTAATAATTTTACATTGTGATAAATTTGTAGCGAGTGTTTATTATAAAGTATAATTCATTTTCGTTTCAGCTTAGTCCCTTTATTAATCCGGGGCCGCCACAGCGGAATGAACCCTCAGCTTGTCCAGCATAAGTTTTACGCAGCGGATGCCCTTCCAGCTGCAACCAATCACTGCGAAACACCCATACACTCTCATTCACACACATACACTACGGCCAATTTTAGCCAATTCTCCTATAGCCCATGTCTTTGGACTTCCAGGGGAAAGCAGAACACCCGGAGGAAACCCACGCGAACACGGGGAGAACATGCAAACTCCACACAGAAACGCCCAGCTGAGGCTCGAACCAGCAACCTTATCACTGTGAGGCGACAGCTCTACCTACTGCGCCACCGTGTCGCCCTATAAAGTAAAATAATGATGATAAATTACAAGCAATAATGGACACAATAACATAAATATACAAATGAAATAATACTTTTAAAACATCCAGAAATCCATAAAGTATTAAGTTCAAATGCAAAATAACACTAACCTAATGTAAAATAACACTGTATAGTCTTTATTGCAATAAAAAATACAATTCATCTTTGTTTAAGCTACAAATTGTATAACTTGTTGTGCACAAATAGTTTAAATTAGTTTGAAATTTGATAGTCGCATACCTTACATTTGTTCACAGGAGTAGGGTTCAACTTGTTTATTTTTTATTGCTATTAAACAATTTCCTGTTTAATCATAATCACAACTCAAAATTGCATATTCGCTTATTGCAATGACTATGCTGAAGCGATATATTGTGGAGACCTACTTCATACTACCATGATAATAAGCGGTGAATACTTGTCAACATGATTTCTGCAGAAGTCCTGTAGGACGACCACAACTCCCATGATTCCACACGGTCACGCTGCATCAAAATATGCCTTCGTTTGTTATGAATATACGCTCTCTACTGACTGAAACTACACACTACGGCTTTAAATTCAGGATTTTGAGAGCAGAGTCCTGCCTACTGTTCAAGGAAATTCATACCTTATTTTAATTGGCTTTTTTAGCAATCAAATTTTAGGTCCTCTTGTCTAAAAGCGTCTGAACACACTTTATCACTTTACCCACACTTGAAGTGATTTCCTTTTCTAATGTTAGTGTTTCTCATTGTTGATTCGTTCTTTGTTTCAGTATCATGGAGAAACTATTAAAAATGTACGTGAGGCTTGTGCCAGCTTTGAGCCGGGCAGCATCCAGTACAGGCCAGTGGGCATCGCCCTCGACACCAAAGGACCAGAAATCCGAACTGGGCTCATTAAAGGGGTGAGTTTACTCATTTACCACACATACTGCAGCTGCTTTGGTTGCATCGCCAGGAAGAACGTGTTCCTGAATTGATCCTGGAACAACATTCCAATCAGCCAATCAGAATTAAGGGATGGGTTTACTGTTTAAGTTTAGGCTTACGGTTAGGTTTATGCACTTCTACCTGAGTGTCATCCAGCTATTATTCCCCTCTAATTTTGGGAATAATGTATATTTATGGTTGGGTTTCGGGGTAGGGAATAGATATGGATTACATTTTCGAACAAAAATGATACTGGATCAAAATAGTAGTAGTGTACTACTATTGTGTTTAATATAATGGTTACAAAGTGACTAATTAGTGTCATTTTTAAATGCTCTATTCACTGGAAAGTAAGGCATTACTGTTCATGTTTAGGTTTTAGTTAGTTGCTTATATACTTGCTTTAAATAAATGTTCACAGCTCTGTGTAATTTAGTGAAGCAAGTCATTTTTGTCATAGGCATATATTTTGCATAATTTAGTTTTTCAGCTAAAGCAGCTCAAATTTATGAAATCACTGCACATGCTTAGAAAAGAGTAAGAAATTAGTGAATTAGTATTTATGAAATGGTTTGCATGCATTATAATGTTTAATAAATTTTTTGCAGAGTAATTGGGTTTAACTAAAGAATATTTTGTTTTTTAAATGCTAAGCATTAAATTAGTTTTAATTAAACTTGAGTCAAATGTGGCCCAGATGTTGTTTAATTTCTATTGCCTGTCCAATGAGATTTATAACAATTTAGTCTAGTAATTTTAATGATGTAATGAGTCATTAAAATGGTTAATTTGGGAAAGTAAATTAATTCTGTTCAACTTAAATTTTAACTTAAACTTAATTTTTTTAAAATTAAACTCGAGTCAAACATGGTGCAGATATTGTTTAATTTCTATTGCCTGTACATTGCAATTTATAACAATTTTAAGTAGTATGAAGTCTAGTAATTTCCTTAATAATTAAAGCTTTCACACATGGTGATTTTTAAATACAGTTTGAATTATGTAATTAGTAATTAATTGCTTATATTAAAGGAACTTGCTGCAACTAAATCAGTGTATAGATTAAAAGTAAATGGTTTTAAAGCACCCAGAAATTTCACCAGACTGCTTTTGAGATGCATAGTTTCACTGGCCAATTAGTTTTTTTTTTTAGTGCAAATGTGCATTTCTCTTTCTGTGTGCAAAATGTCAATATTGCATCAGAAACCAAACTGTTAAACATACTTGAGGAATGCCCTATTTTTAATTATCAGACAAAAATGTTCATCTGGAGAGACTTTAAATGAAATATTTGAAAATGTGAATCCTTCCAAAATTGTAAAAAAAAAATTTAACATAAGTAAATCTTAAACCGTTTTAGATTATTATTATTATTATTATTATTATTTATGTATTTTATCTAATGTATTTATTGCTGTTAATGACTTTTTATTGTTAAAATATATTTTTGTAGAATTATAGAAAAGTTAAATTTATAAAATGTGGCAAACTTGATCTGTTTGATCGTTTTTTTATTTATTTATTTTTTTATTTTATTTTTTTTCGCCATTGCATAACCAGAAAAGCTGATATGGCAATAAACTCAAAACTCTCTTTCCCTGTCTGTGTGTGCAGAGTGGCACAGCTGAGGTGGAGCTGAAGAAGGGAAATAAGATCAAGGTGACCTTAGATGACTCCTTCATGGAGAACTGTGATGAAGATACCCTCTGGCTGGACTACAAGAACATCACCAAGGTGGTGGAGGTGGGCAGTAAAGTCTACATCGATGACGGACTCATCTCTCTCCAGGTGCTGCAGATCGGTGAGTGCTGGATTTTAATAGCAGAGGGTGAAATTCATCTAATGGGAATTAAACCGAAAGCACATCATTATTGAAGATCGTTCCCATCCATTAAATATAACATTTCAGCTTTTGCCATCAGAAAGACATTTTGGGTAAACTTAAGTAAAGAAGAATCTTTATCAAATGTAATTTGCGCCAACTAGTGATGGTGAAATGAAGCTTTCTGAACCACTAAAGCGCTTGACACAATTGTGTCAGAAAAAAGGGTCGTTACTTGAAGCTTTCTAAATCAGAGCTCGATGAGGACCTCTTCTGGTTAAAGTGTGGGAAAGCAACTCATTCATGATGTAGTAATACAACAAGAGTAATATAAACAAATTACTCAATTACTGTAGTTTTTACACATATGTTACATTACACCACCGATGACTTTAGTAAAATCCAAGGTATTCATTAGTATTTACAATTATCGTATTCTAACTAGTTCTTCACCATATATATATATATA